TTCTGGTGACATACGGCGACGACCAGTCTCTACCATGCACGAGTCAGTGATATTCACGAGCTCGAAGAGATCATCGAAGACTTGATCAAGGGCAAGGAGCGGATGACCAAGCGTGACGGGATGCCCCGACACTCGCGGAGCCGTGACAGTTGCAATACCAGACGGAAAGAGTCGCATCGACTTGACCGCCGAGACTCCGCTCGTCGTCGGGATGACTACCGCAACCAACTTCGAGTGACACTCGCCGAAGCTTCGTTGAACGACCTACTAGCTGAACTAGAAGGCCGTGAAGCTACTCAAGGCAGTGGCGAGCGTTCGGATGATGAAGGTGGGTCATACGTCGACGACACAGAGGACTACGGAGGATACCAATCCGATGGAGCGCGCAGCAATACTTCAGGAGTCGATAATGACCGACATCTCGCTGCGGCCAATGAGAGCGAGCGACGTGCTGCAGCTGAAGGCACGTACGCCCGCTCAGACAAGCGTCAGCCACGAGGGAACGTAACAGATCGCGAACGAGGCTTCAATCAAGACCGTCGAGGGGGCGATTGAGGCTTCAACCATAACTACAGTGGCTGGCGCTACTACAACAATCACGACTTGAACAGAGACTGCCAACGTCCGCAGTATGGAGCATGTGCCGCGTGTGGTGGGATGAACTATTCGGCTCACTACTGCAATAAACGGCGCAAGTTCTGCAAGCAAGTGCACGACGTTGGACAGTGCGAACTCTTCCGCAACTTCCAAGACCTGGCAAAATTCGTGCGAACCAAAGGCACGAAGGAAGAACTCCCGCCAGAGCTCAAGGCCGTCGTTCAAGAGCACCATTTAAACTAGGCAGCCCGCCAACTACAACTGGGTTGGTCCCTATCGGGCTGCCACAGTTAGCCGAACCTTCATTGGAAGCGGATTGTATATACGCTTTCAGAGGGGGAAGGGAATGGCCTAATGAATATGTAACAAGTGTGAACGCGACGGTATGTGAAAAGGAGAGGATGCCAGTCCTCGGTGGAGGTATTGAAGAGAGTGTGGAGAGTGCTGATGCCGAGGGAAGCATCAGCGTCTGTTCGTTCGACGTGGTTTCAAGTGCAGTGCGGGACGAATACAAGGGTCACTCCAAGATGATGAAGTTGAACCCTGGTGGGAGACAGGGGTGGTGGTCGGCCAAGAAGTTTGACCGACGAATAAGAATGAGAGCTCTGGTGCAGGGAGCCTCGAACGAACATCGTACAAGAACCCTGCTCGACACAGGAGCGAACGTTAGTGTCATCACCGACACGTTTGCCAAGAGATTGCGACTTCGTGACATTCCAGATCACGGACGTAGCATCGACATTCAAGGCATCAGTGAAGACAAAGTGTCAACGACGCGAGGAGCGCTCGTGTAGATCACGCTTGGGTGGGAGATGGTCTACGAGTTCGAGATGTAGGATATCGCACATAGTGCAGGCGTTGATGTAGTGCTAGGAACAGACTTCATGGTACCGGCCGGCATTCGGTTGGACTTGTTCCATGGAGCTGCACAACTGCCAAATGAAGTCCGCATCCCGCTGATCAAGACGAAGAACATGGTGGATAGTATGAAGTACAGTGCCCACGTCAATGCTGGACCACCCTAAGCTTTAGACATAGTCTCGCGAGTATCGACTAGCGAAACAAGCTGTGAAACTGGAGCAGCACGTACTGTGGGTTCGACGTACAGAGAAGGTTATCCCGTCCGTGACAAGGTTTCGCCGTAGCCGGCCAGTGCGCATTAGATTGACGAACGGACGGCGTACGTTCCAGCGTTCGATAGACTGGCCATGGTGATTTCTGTCAAAGATTTGCCGCGAGGCGAGGGCTACGTGCGTTTGGACTCCAAGAAGTACAAAAATTGGCAAGTGATTGTCTACGAGAACTGTCGCGACCGACAGTTGTTCAAACGGGAGTGTGAACTCTACGAACAATGGCTGGCTACCCAACCTCCATCGATTGAGAGACGAACGTATCCGACACCTATCGGAGTCATGAAGAGGTCGCCTGAAGACGCGTTGGACGTATCGGCTGTTTGTCTGACATGTGCCGAGCGTTGGGAGAAGATTTTGGAGCAACGAGAGTGCGATGAAGGTTGTCTAGACTCAGGGGTGACAGACGAAGACGTGTTCGACGTCCGACTCTCCGGAGACTCGTCGGATGGCGGTTCAGCAAGCAATAATGACGGTAGCGAAGCCGACGAGGAGTCGGTTAGACACCCACAGGGACTGCAAGGTGTAACGAAGATGATGACCACATCAACGTGGGTCCAGTCCGTGCTTGGAGCGAGAGGTGATGAATCAAGTGCATTGATTGGTGAGACTAAGACGGTCTCGGGTGCCAAGCGTCGAGACAGTGACTCATCAGCCTCATACACTGCGACTAGCGAGAAAGAAGCCACGACAGCCGGTCGGCAAGAAGTGCAGGGCTCGCAGAAGGAAATGCATACAAGGGCGAGTGTTCGCGTGGAGTCTCAAGTCGAGGACATGTCGGCGGAGGACGCGATGACCGAGCTGGACAAGACCTACATGTCGGTAGCCCGAGTGTTGACGACCGAAGGGAATGAGGTTGCTGGCGATCCAGGGGTGGACCATTACGAACACCCAGCTAACAAAATCGGCTTGGAAGACTATACAAAGGAATTCGCGTTCCTCCCCGACTTCACGGAAGATTCAAACACGACCATCGACTATGGAACACCGAATGTCAAGAACTCATGTCTGACGACTGATCAGCAAGAACGACTGGCCACTACGCTGAAGAAGAATGAGCGAATCCTCATTGCCAGCGGCAAAGCGTTAACGCCACCGCGTACGGCGTAGTATGTGACATCGATACACAGGGACACGCCCCAATCAAACACCGTGCTCGACGCGTGCCGCTCCGCTACCTCGGCAAGCTGCACGAATTGTTGAGGGCCCTGCTTAAGGCTGGGCTCATTGTTTTCTCGGACAGCCCATGGGCGTCGCCAATCGTGCTTGTGATGAAAAAGAATGGTCTGGATATACGGCTATGCATAGATTACAAGATGGTGAACGTCATTACCGCAATCATGGAGTATGC